TATTCAATCTAGTCCATAGAGTGTATAATATTTTATGAATAAGAATTATTTAAATTCATTATTCAAACAAGAACGCATAATATATGATATATATGTAGTTAGAATTAGTAGCTAATCCCTAATGGCTACTGAAGGTAATGAAATTGTAAATAGAGGGAATTTTATCAAATAAATATCTATTTGTTTTTTTTTCTTTCAATTTATTCCTAAGTACATTAATATTGTTCAAGAAAATTTACCTGTAAAAATAATTTAAAACAATCTATTGTTTTCTAATAATCTTATAATTCATAGAAATGTATAGATATAATTATAAGATCGAATATTTTAGTATTAATGAGGAAATGTAATTGTCTTAAATTATCTTGCGAAATTCAGTATATATTTATTAATATTTTATTCATTATATATAAACATTTATTCGCCGTTTGTAATAGGAATGATTTTTTTCATTCTACTATATATACATTACTTTATTAAAGCCAATTATAATAAAATATATTAATTCTCAAGTTATAACAATTAATTAATTCCAAAATGCAAAAAAAATATCATTTATTTTTATAATATAGTTGTAATTTTAAATAATATTAAATTTGAATTAAACAATAAATCAGATATAATTTATATTACACTTGCTGAAATTATTTCGTAAAATAATCATATTAAATCTATTAAATTTGAATACAAAATCATTATCATCGTATGAGATAAGTTTTTATTTCATGTAGCTAGACCAATAGTATTGTAATTATTGTAAAAAGTAATTTGATAAAATTAGGAAATATGATTTTTTAGTAGACATTGTGTCTTATTATTTAATATGAACAGTTCTAAGTTTATGTGTATGTATACGTCTGAAAAATATGCCGCTATTAGAAAATCATAATAAAATTTGTAATATTAAAGATATTTTTAATATTGATAGTTTATTAGTCGAAACTTGAAACGAAAGAATAGAGAATGAGATAGATAATGCTGAATGTCAAATATCTTTTTTAATTAGAACTAAGAAAAGATAATTTATCATTGTAATCATTGCAAACATATTTAATTTTATTGACTGGTGAACGTACGTATTTGTTTATATGACAGATAAGGGTTGGATAAAATAAGGCAAAATCAAAGATTTATATTAATTGCAAAGAGGTTAGCTAATGAAAGTATCACTGACTTCATAAAATACAACAGATCTTATGTTTGCCCTTCGATTTGCCAGAAAATAATAAATACTAGCACACTAGAAGCTAATATTTACTAGTATTTATTAATATTTACTCTTATTCAATGAGTATATATTATCTAAAAAATATTTGTATTTCATAATCTGTAATTCATAGTCATTTCACAAAATATTTGTATACATAAAACTGTGAATAGTATTAAAAATTGTGAAAATATATTTGTACCTGAGATTTTCCGATATTATGTTTATAAACAAACTATAAGTAGCAACACAGAGAGACATATTTTTTTTCATCTTCAACATGAAATTATACTTTAATAATTTAATAATTTACATAAAATTTTAATTAAATTGTTAAATGAATGAACGAACTCATCGATCATAAAAAGAATTAATAGAAAAATCAATTACTCATTGTATAATTATATTGTTTGAATAGCATACACGTATATCGATAATTCATGTATATTTGTTTACCCTCGGATAATATAATTAATAACACAATAAAACTCAATACTAAATATTATATAATATCATGAAAATAATAAATGTATTTTTAAAATTTTTAAAGAAATATGGAGTATTGAATGTATTTTTAAAATTTTTAAAGAAATATGGAGTATATGTAAAAATGTAATTTTTATCAAATATACATACGTTACATCATTATGCTTATGTTTATCAATATGAAAATTACACAATTTTTCAAGAATCTAATTACAATTAATTACTGAATCAATTATCTTAATCAATAAAAAATAATAATTTACTTAATTACTTAATTAGTTAAGATATTACATCAACTACAAATTTTAGTATTCCGTATAAAATACAGAGTCTTATGTACTTATAAATATGTGCAAATGTACATTAATCATTTACATTAATTGTTATATGTATTTAAAATTTTTTGCAAATTATATTTCGCCATTCAATTATACCGATGAACTTCGATTATTGCATGACGTAACTTAAGAAGTCTGCTGTAATCTTATATGCATCCATAATAACGACGATGATAAGGAACTATGGAATACATTATTATAATATCTTCGGGTGAATTATAAGATACGATTTATTAAGTTACAGAAAAGATGAATATGCCTTTTATCAAAATGGTAATAAGTCACTGTAGTTTAAAGTTGGCACTTATAAACATTGATGGATGTATTACATTTAGAAAAGATATGAGAGAACATTTACCAGTAAAATTTTAATATATAACCGTTTTCCATGGATATATATATATATATATATATATATATGTCGAAATTTGTATGAATTTTGGTATTTGAAATCAAAAGTAATCTATTTTCTGAAAAATGAACTGCTAAATACTAATAGCATCTAATAATAGTAGTTATAATAGTATTTCTTCCCAATTAATCCAATTATTTACAAAGCTATCGAAGTTTTGATAATTTTTTCCATTGATTTTTAATTATTCAAAATTTATTTTCAGTATAGCCGGGAGAGAGAAATAAATATTTCCATAATTAAAACAATAATTATCGGAGAATATTTTTATAACTTTCTTCATCTTTGCCAAAATAAAAGTATATAATTTCATTTTTAAATTTTTTCAAATTCAAATAAACAGTACATCGTATTATATAAGTTCATATCTACTACACGAGACATTATATTTTCATTTCTGTGTTAATAAATTAGAGTTTTTTATTACAGAAGTTTGCAAATACTTGATTCTAATTAGTGGATAAATTCAATAATGAAAAAAAATGCATCTAGACCATAAAATTTGATTTTTAATATTTCATTATTCTTATTACAAAAATATCAAGGCAGATATTATTATTCCATGATAATGACGTTAAAATGAATCAATTATTTTGAAACAATTGTTATAAATATTAAATTTATAATTAATAAATACGATATTTGAAATGAAACTTATATTAAAAAAATTAATTTGAAATTTTAATGAGAAGTATATCATTTTGAAAATTATACACGAGCTTTATCGTTTTTTGATATATAAAAATCTATTGAATTGTTCTGAAAAAAATTAAAATTTTTACAAATAAAAATAGTTATAAGAGTGTAATTTTAATATTAATTCTAGTCATACTTTAAAAAAATTTTATTGTAATAATTGTTTTATTTCATTATAAAATATATACAATAAGAATATATCATTTGTTTAATTAAATTATGGTATAATAATCATGTATATGTTACGTATGCTTTGACATAAAATAAATATAATTATAAATATTTAATATTATGTGATCAAAATATATTAATAATGTTTTTGGCGATTGTCATTTATAATTTACGGTTAAAATTTCAGAGATTATTTATAAGTAAATAATCAATTAATTTTACATAAGATTAAAAAGTCTTTCGCAATTATTCAGAAAATCTGTACGTATAACGATATTCTATGATACTTTATAAAGTTTATAAAGTGTAAATTTGAATAGATATATAAATAATGAATCATTATCGGTATTTAATATATATTTTTGATAGTTTCTGTTATGATTTGTATATAACATTTGTTCTGATAGTTCTTATTCATAATTTCTTCGTAAACTGTAGACATCATAATGAATAATTATAATATATATTATTAATATTCAAATATTGTCTATAGTTTCATCCATGTTATAATATAATATTTAAATAAAAGTTAAATTGAAATTTAGAGTTATTAAAAAGTGTATTATTTTACATTAACGAGTGAATTGGAATAAAACCAAATTTATTATGAAAATTTTATTTAAATAATTTAATGGAATTAAAAAGAAAGGCATAGTTCATCACATTTAAATTCTAATTTTAATATTTATATATTATTCTATATTTTAATATTTGAATTACTGGTGCTAATTTATGAATAGTAGAAGAGTTTTGACAAAATGGATAATATAACTTTATCATGTGTTTATTTATAACGAATGCAAAAGCATTCATAGTATATGTTTGAAAACATATGTTAGTTGTGTAAATTTCTAAATTTTATATTAATGTAGAAATTAATTATTAAAAAAAAATTTAATTTAGAAATATTTATTTTCATTCCCCTTCATTTTTTGCTTATTCTCATGAACGCAGAACCAATTGTAATCAAATAAATAGCACAAAATGGACAAATAGTTGCAAAGGAACACACACGTAACTGTAATTAGTACAACTACGTTATTGACGATGTCATTGTCCAGTTGTGTATCCATAGATTTTCAGAAAATTAATATTATATGATTGAAACAAACGATGAAAGGTCATTTAAGTTATTAGATTAATTGTTATGTATTTCTTCACCGGAAGACCTAACGGCTAATAATCTTTTATAACTTATTTAGCAGAAGCTCTGATTTATATATATATATATATATATATATATATATATATATAATTTATTATATTTCAATATATAATAATTATAATTGATTATAATTCACAAAGTATAAACGTCATATCTTAAAGTTACATTGATATTTAATTAAAAAAATCAAGTCTAATAGATTAAAGAACCGCACTGCGCTATTATGTTAACTTAAATGAAACACTATTTTTGATCATTATAACCGGAAGAAATAAGATAATTATTTTTTAAATTTGAGACTTTTCAAAGAAAATCTTATATTAAAATTTACAAATTATATATCAACTTGTTATTTACTACAGGCAATACAAATTTCCATAAAAAATTTATATACCTTAATACATCCCTTACATATTTATGTATATTTAATGAAATTTTAATTGCTCAGTTTAATGATGTAAGGAATTTGTCTTTGAATTATCGTCGTCTTTTGTATTATTATTAATAATTGGTGAAAATTTGTAACTACATTGCATTGATATGAGAATATAGTTCATTGTAACTTGTAACTGTATTTGTTTAGTTTTACTCATTTTTATAAATGAAAAAAAATTCTATTATCGAGATCTTGCTACGACTCTTTAATAATAATAATAAGATTATGTATATACTATGGATTTATCGTCTACTTCTTTTGAAAATTTACGTAACTATTGTTTGAAAAATCTTGACAGTGCTATCCTGCAAATCGAATTCTCACACTCTCTCGCTTTTTCTCTTCCTGAATCTGTATGGTAAACGCGTAAACACATAAACACACACACACACACACAAAACAAACACGCATGTACACACACACGCACGCGCGCACACGCACACGCACACACACAAAAACGAACACGCATGTACACACACTAGCACACGCTTGACTGTATGTACGTGAGAATGTCACAGGATACATAAGTGTCGGAGCTTTATATTGCGAGCTCGAATTAAAGTTAAATATAATTTTATTAAAATAATAATTTATTTTTTTTCGTTTCCAAAATAAAATAGGCTCTTATTTTATACATTAAAATAATAATAATAATTATTAAAAAAAGGAAGATTCATTTTGATTTAAAATATCTAGAATAAATGATTTATGTATGAAAACGTCCGTGTGTATATCGGGTGCCATTGTTGCGCAGGGTTTACTAAATGAAATTATGCCAACAATTTCATTGTTCCTAACTACTGGGCCTCCGCTATCACCCTGTAAAATATTGATCATTAATTTATTAAATATAAAGTATCAAATGAAATTCAATAAGTTTTTCTGATTCTCATAAACTTACGATACATGCGCCAACATTTTCCCGATACGTGCACATTTGATCCGCAGCGAGATAAAATTCATAGTAAAGAGTACACTCGTATCGATCCATTATTTTTACTTCGGTATGTTGAATTTTATAAGGTAAAATTTCCGATGGGTAAGATGTTAAACCCCAACCACATAAAGTAACATTCTCTCCTATCGTAATACGTCTAGTTGGAAGATTTATAAGTTGTTGAAGTGTATTCATTTGAATTATTCCATTAATCTAAAAAATGTTATTATTAGTTTTCTCGCAAACTTCATTCGACAATTTCTAATATTTATTATAATCTTGTACTTCTTACTTTCGTTTGCATTTCGATATATGTAACGTTTATTTGTTCGTATTAATTGAAAATGTATTTAACGTATTCTTGAATTCTCGAAATTTATTGGATCAACTCATGATTATTATTTACTATTCAGTGAAAATTTTAAATTGGTAAAAAAAGTTGTAGAATTATTTTATTTTACGCATCACTAAATATATGAGTAAAGTATGCGTAAGTAAATAGAGAAATAATGAAAGCTGTCTATCTAAAAGGCTATGCAACATACGTTTATTGTATTGTATTGTATTTGTAGTTGCAATTTATAATAAAAGGTTTTGTAAAATTTTAACGTATGATTTAAACATTATAGTAAAGTTATATAATAGTTTAATTTATGCATTTGTATTCTTCGAATATGAACTTCTTATGATAAAACATTAAAATACTATGCAGTTGAATGCGTATTATATTTTATATCTATGGGTGTCTAATGCAAAGTGATATAGATATTTAAAAAAATAAAATTGTACTTTAATATTTTCATTCAATACATAGAAGTTTAATTTATTCACCGAAATTTATAATATAAATAGAAAAATTGAAATTCATCCAATAAGCTCTCGTGATTTACGAGCAATAAGTTTTAAATTTAGTTAAAATAAAAACTACTGTTACATTACAGTAAACGACTAAGCTTCAATCATTTAATATATTATTATTGATTAGTATGAAAATGGTTATACTCTTTTGTTATTAATTAATATTCAATCAAAAATATATACTAATCTTGATTTATCTAATTTAGTATATTTTAATGCCATAAAGGTTTTAAATACTTTTAACGTTGAATTTATAGTGTTCAATCGATATTTTGCATTCTCACTAATTATCGATAAAATAACTGAAGTGGTCTATCATGTGGTTGGAATAAGCAATAAGCACCGCTAAAACTCATGTTTTTTGTCATTTTTACAGTCTTATGTCTAAATGATAGGTCAAACCTCGACATGGGATACGACTTCAATATCTAAAATCTAAGTAAGAGACTATAAACGACTTGTGTTGGTATTTGTTGCTCTACCTGAATAACGTTTTACCGCAGTAGCGATAATGATGTGCACACACACACGCACCCATGCAAGCTGTATTTGAGAACATGTTTCTATGCATTAGACATTTGATACTTAATATATACCCGAGTTAAGCCTGTTAATTCAATAATAAATATAGTCTCAAGACTATTTTTAACATAGAGCGTGTATTCTTACATAATAATTTATCTCAATAAGTTTGCTGATAAGTAAAATTCTATATCTTATAGCTTAAAATTATAAATCTGTGTTAATGTGCGTATACGAGAAGAATCGAAAAAATATGTAAAATACTTAAGAAATGATCTACTAAATAAAGTATAATTCTCATTAAAAAGAAGCCAAAGAATTCAATGATTTTACAATTAATTTTTAACATCATCAGAACTTATAGTATTTCCCTAATTTGTTTCAGTAATTGTGTTGTATTTTATGCAATTGTATTATCAATGTAAAATTTCTAGAAACTTAAAGTTTTATTAGAATTAATATAATTATTTAACGTACTATGACAACAGAAATGTCATTATGTAATCCATTGTTTCCAGCTGACACTCCTGTGAAATCAGGATGCACGATAAACTGTTTGATTGTATATGTCGATCCTATTTCAGTTGCATTTACAGCTCCCACGTGAACTGTCACTCTGTTAACATAATCATGAATTAAACAATGAGCAGCCGTAAGAATATGCTGAGTTGTTATAATTGCTCCAGCACAAAAATGTTGATTCGTCGCAGCAATTCGAAACGACGCTAGATATGGAAATTCTGATCTCTCCGCATCTTGACCACCGATAATTCGTACATCCTTGCCGCAAACAGCTGAATAAGTATTTAAGTGGGAATAAAAATTGTAAAAAGTATGAACAAAAATTCTAATATAATGATAAATAAATAAATGTGAGAAAAACGAAATTACAAAACATAATAGAAAAAGTATATCAATTATATTTATTATATTATTGTATATTGTAGTAATATTGTACTAATTTAATCAATATCAATGATATTATTTGTTTTTTCAAATTCACATTTCAAAGCTAGCATTTCATGATTTACTTTGGACTTGTTTATTTTCATGTTTAAATTTAGATTAATTAAACATCCAAGAAAACGATGCTACTATTTCTAAGAAATACTAATATCATTATGGTATTTAGAGACAAAATTAATATTTACTCAAACTTTAAACATTTTAAATAACCGTACATTTATAGGGTAATATAACAAGGGACATTTAAAACCACAAACAAACAATAATTGAATAGATAAAGAAATGTAAAATATATCTTTATTTAATAGTATATTTTAAATATTCAAAACTAAATTGTATAAATAAAAAAAAAAAATTTTTAAATAGCATCTTAGTTACTGACGTACTCAAAATTAATTTTAATCAATTAAATATTATGCCATTTATTTTTGGAATGAATTATTACATAGTTTGTTACATTATTAAAAAATTTAATAAATTCATCGATGTAGTATGACAATGATGGATAATCTCATTATTTAAAATCAGCAATAAAAAAAAAGACTTCTGTCCTTAGGAAATACTTTAATAGTAAGAAAATACACAAATAATAATCTTATATATTTAATAATTTAGGTAAGTAACGTTCATTTCATAAATGGTAGATAATGAAGTAAAAAAATAAAGATATTTAAGTAACAATGGGTGAATACGTTACGCGCACGTAATAATTTCTACCAATTAGCAAAAGAATTGAATATCATAAAAAAGAAACAGGATTTATTAGTTGTGGAATGCTGATTCTTACAGTGATTTGAAGTTTCAATTTCGTGGGTCATAAGCAAATATTTAGTCAATAATATGTCCAAATATGGTTTTATCTCATACCCTTTTCATTCTTTGTTTGCTCAGTTAGTTTTTCCATTTCATTTCCGTATTTCTTGTTAATAAATATCTCTTTTCTAGTATCATACAAAACTCAAATACCGAACAGTAAATAAACTTTATCAATAGTAACAAAAAATTAATTTTTATAAGTATAATTTTTCAAAATTACAAGTGTAGTTTTGAATCTTCAAAATATCATTGCCTACAATAAATAATTAAAAATAATAATAGATCTTCGAAATTCGTTTAATACAATATACAGATTTAAATAGGTTCATTCGATTAAATATCTTTTATACAACATTGAATTCAATCCACATAATATATTTATCAATATATTAATTGAATATTAAAAGTAATTTAACATTATATTATTAACTCACCACTTATCAATATCCAGAAGAAAATTGTAATTTTACTATCCATCTCGTCGATTATATGAAACTAAATGTTTAAAACTCTTATCATTACTTTATATAGAAACAAGATCATGTTCGTTTAAATTTTTTTGGATTTTTATTTGCATAATTTGTTTATTTCTTTTTAATATTTTATAAAATAAATCCTTTAAAAATTGAAAAGTAACGAATGAAAAATGTCAAATAGTAAACACCTTATATATATATATATATATATATATATATATATATAACATTTATTATTAACAATCATGTCTATTTTATTTTTTATAAGTTGACATAATTAAAACACTTTAAATATCAATTGATAAAATCTAAACTTTTATTAATAAAATATCATCATTTCATCTTATACAAATTTACCTAATTTTTTTTTTTTTTTTGTCAAAGAAATTTATTAAATAATTTAGATAAATTTACTATTTCATAAAATAAATTATTTTGCTTAGTGAATTGTAATATAAATTTGTGGTTTATATAATGCTACTAATCCATTCTAAATTCTTCAACCATTAATTATTCAACCAAATACAAGCATTCCGTACAATAGCTTTACATTTATTTTTTTTATTTTTTTTAACACATATCATTTATAAAAAGTAAAATAAATATAATTTAAATAATTATTTAATTCTATAATAAAAATGGTAATAAATAGAAAACATATACCAGTAAATTTTATTTCAAAATGTAGATTTATGAATTTCTCTATATATACTTAACACTATACAATATTGTACTAAATATTAAAAAACAAAAAGTTGCGCCTAAGAAAAGGAATTAACGAGATATTAGCTGTTTCAATATTATAATTTATTACTATCATTTTTCAAAATATGTTTGTATATATAATCAAGTATTGAAATCTTATCTTCTTACTAGTTCTTTATTGGATTAATTAGATAATTAAAAAAAATTGTAAATCATATATATGTTTGTATAATATACACGCGTACACACACGCACACACACACACACACACACACACACACGCAGGCGCACATAAATATATATATTTATCATTAATAGACAGTAATACAATAGATTTCTTGAACTCAAATACTGTACAAATGATAACCAAAACTATTATAATATTATTATAATTACTATTACAATAGTAATTCAAATAATTTTAATTATGGTCATTTAAATTTATTTAATTCTCAATATTAAAATATTATACATTACATATTTATATCAAATTATATCACACTTGATTTCTCAATGCAATTTAACATTTTAGAAGTTTCTTTTAATTTTATAATCATATTATTTTAAAATTTGAAAATTTTATTTGATCACTTTTTAAATAATATACTAACAAAATGTACTTGTTTTATAAAATACAAACACAGATTTTCAATAATGACTTACTTGACTGTTTTCGAAAGTAGAAAGACTATGTTTAAAATGTTCATATACCACATAAATATAAATATGATACGTGACTTTGATAAGAATTCAAAATATGATATTGATTTAGCATATCTCATTTATAAAACATTGAAGCAATTCATTTGAAAATTAATTACAAATTATAAATTAAATAATTTGCAATAAGACAATTGAATTATATTTATATAGGAAAAATTAGAATGCAATTAAAAAAATTAGAAACCTAACTATTTCACAATACGAATATATTATATGTCCATATTTTAATATATAATTTTATATTTTGTAATAAATTTCTATTGCAGTATATTCATCGTTGCTTCTTTGAAAATATTATTTTTTTTTTATCATACTTTAATTAAGTAATTGCCAAAAAATATCAAGTTTTTTTTTTTATAAAAACATTAATGAAAATTAATTTTGGTAACTGGTTTATTCTTGTAATCTTTAAAAATCAGTCACTTAATTAGTATTATAATAATTATTATATGGATGATCTACGTAAATTATAGTATTTAATATTAAATGTATATGTTGTGCAAAATTATAAAAGTAGATTTATTTTACTAAAAATTCCATTTCTGCAATTCGAGTTCTGTGTTCGAATTCTGTAACACGAAATTTCATATTTTTTAATAATTAGTTCAGATCAAAATGAAATTTTGCCATCATTCTCTAACGGATGAAAAAATACGACTAAATTATAGTTTATACATAAAAATTATGAAGTTAATATGTATGAGTTATCTAGAAACTTTATTGATCTGTATATTTTGTATATAAATTTTCCTAAATAAAATTATATTCTATCAACAAATATAAATAGAAATGTAATTCTATGGAAATTATCTATATATTTATGAAATTACCTATATTTTATTAAACATTTTATTTATTTATTATCGTATTGTATTATCTCGTATTTAAGCTTCATAAACTATTCGAAATAATTTATTGAATGATAATTTTGCATAAACTTTCGTAAGTATAGAGTATTATATAAAATTTTGAAATTCAGATTTCATCCTTCGTAAATTAAAAAAATTAAAAATTTTATATTAACTTTATATCGATTAAATAATACGGTAATATACATTAATAGATGGTATAGTTTTTATAAATTTAGTAAAATATTATCGTATGACCATATGAGAATTGATATTATATTTTTAAGTAAATAAATATAAATACAGTGTTATAAAATTTGTATATAAATATGATTTTTTATTTTGATGTTCGGTACAGTGGGAAATTTATAATGTAAAAGTTATATAGATATAGTATTTATTAAATAATTCGTATAAAAAAAAAGTACATAAGCTAAATGTTCATCATCGCTGTAATAAAATCTAAATGTTTAAAAATGTTGCAGTGTATTTCAGGACAAACATCGTACGATGGCATATTGAAAGAAATAATACCAATTAATTTATCATTACTTGTTACTGGTCCACCACTATCCCCCTATAAATTATTTCCAATATTATTACTTATTTATGTTCATTAATATACTTATGAAATAGATTTTATGTGATTATATTTTCATGTTTTAGAAAATGTTGAAACAACTTTATTAAATTATATTTATATGAAACTCGATAGGAATTATTAAGATATAAAAATTATATAATAATTAATATACTAAATTCTTTACGGTGCAAAATCTGTTCATTATCATAAACAATTAAGTTCATAAAATCAGTACAATTTTGAATTGCATTTTGCAAATACTCACAATTGATGCATTTTTTCTAGGTGTTTGCGTGCATATTTGATCTTCTGATATAGAATGTGTAAATACTTTCACACATTCGTCATAGTTAAGAATTTCTACTGTCACTTGTCGTAGTTTATCCGAAAAATATCCAATTGGATTAGCTGTTACACCCCACCCCCATAATATAACGTCAAGAATGTCGTGAACATCTTCTGTCGGAAGATTTATTTTTTTTTGAAATCGATTAAATTCAATAGTCTCATTGAGCTGAAATGGTATTAGAATTAAAAATTATTGTTTAGAAAATACTATGTCATAGTTAAAAACTAAATATCTTATTTAAATTTATGAAAATAAAAATGAGACAATTTAATTTAAATTTAAGGTATTGTATATATTTAAATTGTTTCATTTTAGTTTTCCTACTGATTATTATTTAACTTCAATAGATATTTTATATATATATATATATATATATATATATATATTCATATTTATATTCATATTTATATTCATATTTATATTCTTTGAATACCTGGCTTGATTGTAAATTAATAATTGAATAATCATGTAACGAGACATTACTCTAATGTTGTTCATTTATATTGTTTGTTTATAATTTTTAAAAATCGTACATTATCAAAGAATTTTTACAAATTTATATATTTTTTAGGCTCTTCTATATATCTAAAACATGAAAAGAGGACACATAGTTCTATACACCTAACCTTTCCTTATATTTTTTTTATTATTGACTAAACCTAATTAATGAACTAAGCTATCTGCTAAAGATAAAGAAAACTTTGAATGAGAATAAACGAAGTAAAGAATGGGCAGGAGGCACTGCATGTTATGAATTGAAGTTTGAAGTGTTAAGATGACTTTCTAATTCTTATTCAAGAATAATGTTAATATGAAGTTGAAAAATCTAGATTTATTTAAAAAACACGAACTCTGTATTAGCGATATCGGGGTAAGGTAGGGAAGATCTTCCTTAACCGAGTCTTCGATTCAAGAATATAGCTGTTCACAGCAGAAAAAACTTTAAGACAATTAATTGAAAGAGCCGGTGAATCGTACTGCCAACACATTGTCAACATTATTTCGACTGTCAGACTTACTGAACGCAATTGGGAGTAGCAACTAAAAAATGTAAAAAAATCTCAAATGAGTGTTGTTAATACTCCAGATTTTACTGTCAATGCTTCCTTCCCTCATTCGTGAAGTGCGCCATTAATCTCCAGCTTTAGATGAGAAGTAACAAACTTCTCAATGCATTTCGATGATAATCCACTCTTCTTCAGTCGATGAAACAGTTATTTACTAAAATTCTCTAGTGTTTTCAGGACGAAAATCTGGTGACCTCGTCATACTTAAAAGACGGAGCAATTGGCCTCGAAAATTTTTTTAATTATCTCATTCCTCAACATATAGATAATTTATTTGTGAAAAACTATGGATGAAAGTGATAATCGCTAGAGCATAATGCACAAGTCACTTTCAGAAGTTTCGATTTTTTATAAAATAAAAATTATTGTGATATAAAAATACTTTTAAAAAATTGTAAATATGAAATGCTTTAATAAACAATGAGTTATATTATAGTTAAAAGTATTTGCATACGTGATTCAGTTTATTAATATTATTACAATTGTACAAACATACACCGAATTATATTTTAAATATAAAGAATTATAATTCTTTTAAACTTCATATAACTATGACGGAAATTGTATAATATGATATTTCCAACATAATTGATGTATTTTCACGTTGTTTTAAAATTTAATGTAAGTCTTATCATCAAATTAAACAAAAATAATTATAATAAATTGTGATAAATTATCTGTATATGTATAAAAGAAAATTCTCATAAATATAATTCATAAATAAAAATATTAAAGCTTTTCATATTGAAGGTGAACATTTTTTACTCACTTTCAAAACAGCAATATCATTAAAACGATCGCTCGGCGATGGTTTCAAAAGTATTCCATCGAATTGAGGGTGTAAAAGAAATTTATCAATCTCGAATACGGACCCATCGGTATCCAATATATATGTTATCCCTGTATATACTCGTAATAACTCATACAATTCTTCTTGCCCATAAAAACAATGAGCTGCTGTGAGAATATGTTGATTGCTGATTATGCTACCAGCACAGTGAAGAAGGTTTGTATCTATGAATTTGATTGCCGCTATGTACGGGAAATTTTCAATATGAGATTCTCTGCCACCAACGATTCGCGTATATTTACAACTGGCTCCTTAAATATTTTAAACAGATATTAATAACTAATGGAAGAATTGTTTTCAAACATTATCCAAAGCACATTTTTCTAATGAAACATTTATTAGAATAGTGATCAGGAATATATTATAACCAAATGTATTTACCAAATAAAAATACTATTCAAAATTATATTATGGTGTAATTGAGAAGTAAAGGAAATTAAATAATGAAGATAAAAATATTCAAATAGAATTTGATAACTAACTAGCAAATTACTGCACCGAATAAATAAATTATGTTATATTTTTTATAATGAATAAAGCCCAATATATAAATATATATATATGGAGGTTACAATTTTTCTTCGATATAATTGAAAAAATTTCGCTTTCATATTAAAACTTACTGTCTACGTCATTCAGATTCTTAAAATCATGCTTCTAAAGTTGGCAAAATAATAGCCTGAAAATAAATAGATTTAGAGTGGAGTAGAAAAAAGCTTACATATAGGCTATAATTTTTCATTTTGTATATTTTCGTTCTACAAAAATAATTATTACATACGAGTTTAAATCAATAAATATTACACAGCGGAAAATTTTTGAAATTATATATATATATTTTTTTGTGTAAAACAAAGTCTATTTTGTTGTAAAAATTTCTGAATATCACCAGTTAACAGAAGTATTGTACAGAACGATCAGTTTTATAAAAATTCTTTTATTTCAGATGAATTTAATCGCTTAATGATTTTTAGCCACAAGAGGTTAAAAATAAAATATAAATAAAATAATTCATAAATCTCATTAAAATGAATAGAAAATATTATCAGCATACACATTTAATAATATTCTATATTTTAGATTATCAATAAACTGTTTTCATTTTTTACTTTGTATGGTATATTCAATGATAACTGTTCCATATAAATTCCATATATATTCAACTCTTTTCTCAATATTATTATTTTATCAGGATTACTTACAATTATATATTTGCATGTATATAAATATTATACAAGTACTTACCAATAATAAATAATGAACAAAGGGAAATTACAATATGATAATCCATTTAGAAGGAAATTAAATAAAATTTAAGTAATTGAACCTCAACACTTGCTTTATATAAGAAATCATAATTCTTTAATATTAATAGGTATAAATCTTATTTCAATATTTATTTCTAATTATTTTGCAGTATAATAGTTAGAGTTATCTATGATATAAATCTCTAATATGAAAAAAAATCAATTACATAAAAATACTCGGAATTATATTTGTAACGAAATATAACTGAACTAATTCCGTATTTAAATAAAATATTGATTCTTAATTTTTTCTTATTTACCTGCATGTTAGTTAATATATATTAACTTATTGTTATGTAAATTGACTTATTTCATATCGAAAGTAGTCACCAGAGTATAAAAGTGTAGGATTTTTATATATTTTAATCAGAACGCAATAAAAGTATGTACAATCAACTTAGTTTACAGTTTAATAATATTTTTCAAACATAAAGTATCACAAATTTGTTATTGAAAAACTTAAAATTTTAATAATAATAGATTAAAAGACATTAAAAATTAATTCAATAATAGTAAATACTAAAATTTATTTACCTTAGATAAAGTAGAATAAAAAAAACAAGTAAAATAAAGTAAATAATAATTTGAAAGCATGAATCTGTAGAAATATACTAACTCAATTGACATAAATTGATAAGTATTTGTTATTAAATAAACGATTTTTCTTTTAAATAATAAATTCATACAAAGTTAAAAAAATAAAGGTATTTTTTATTTAAATAATATACAATATATAATAAACATGTAAGATTTCTGCGAGGATTATTTAAATAAGCAAGATATATCTTGGATTATTGATAATCGATTATCAACAATATTGCTAAATAGAGAAAATAGAAAAAGTAGAATAAAGTAGAATAAGGTGTATATTATTTCAAAAGTTATTTCTTACAAATGAAATAAAAATACTTTTAAACTATAACTATTCATTTTGGGATATAAAATGTCACTATACTATTCATATTGTGTTTCATGAAATTTTTTTTTCATGTGTAAAATAAGCTTACAGGATTAGTAGTAGTTTAAGCATTAAGAATCGCTCGTTTCAAACAACATAACAATTTCCAAAAATAGTACAAAATTTATATAAAGTTCGGTAAGAGTAAAAAGTAAGCAGAGTTTACCCACAATCGACAATTACATATACAAATTACATAAACAGTTCGTACATATGCTTATAATTATTTTTATATTTACTCTTTAATTATATTATATATATGTTACTTGTATTTAAATCAATAGAAAGAAATAGATAATATAAATATAATTATAATTGAATTAATTATATCGATTTCTATTTTACGCTAATAAGTTAGAGTATATGCAGTGGTACAGTACTAGTAGTGAAATACTATTGAGAATTAATAAATGTAATGTAAATATTTTTATAAATATATGCCAAAAATATATATTTATTTCATAATTTTCTTGGTAGTAATTCATTACAATTTAATCGTATAATCAACATAATTTTTACAATAAAATAACGCTAATAAGCAATAAAAAGTTTAATTCAAACGATTGATTTTACCCGTATTTGGAATTATATAAGCTTGCCAATAGAATTTATAAATATAAGATGAATAGTGATTTTATATTTGCTTATCGAATTTTAGATTGAAAAATAGAATCAAATTATGATTGTTTGCGATATTTCCAATGAATTAGCATCATATTAAAATTCTTAGTTAAAATCGTATTCCAATATTTTTAATAGTTTGAAAACAATTTTCGACGTTGTCGCCCATTATTATTCATTTAGAGTTTCATTTTAGATTCACGAGACTAATAGATTAAATCGAAATTGATGTTTGTACATAAAAAAATATTTTCTAGATATACAATTTTATATATAATTCTAAATCCAAATTATGAGTTGAGAAGTGGTGGTTAGTCAAGAGAATGAGATAACCGAAAACGGCGATGTATACACTACAAGCAAGAACGACACGTGCCAGACGAAAAATTGAAAAACTTCAATTTGACAAAGATTAAGACTAAAAACACTGGGTGATTTGCAGGATTTATGAAACATGATTGTGAATATAGAAGATAACCACATCGGCGTAAGAATATTGCAGGGTACATCAGTAATTTGGCGAAATAAAATTGTAAAAATTTAACAAACCAGCCATCGATGGAATGGAATATTGTTTTAAGTTACATAATGCATGTCAGAAATTTTCAATTATTGGGATTTAATATGAACTTGAAGGAGGTGATATACGTGACTTGGCAGTGAGTACGACGATGTTCAATATGTTTCACTGCTGTTTTTAGCTCGACATATAATATCGATTTTATATTAATTATATGTTTAACAAATAAGTTAGTTAAAATATTAATTTCTTTTTTTAATAATTGATATCTTCCGTGGTTATGATATTTTTGTTGTTGCTCAACTATTTCGCACAAAATAGTTAATTCTATAAGTTCCTCCATTTAAGCTTATAAATCTTTCATTTTTTAAATTTATATTATTATATACTTTCATTAAAAATTTTGATTACAATCAGTCCTTTTGCCATAAGCGCATGTAGAAAGCTGATTCGAGTTACATCTTAATATTACAATTATTTTGAAATATTCAATGCACAATAGATTTATCGATGACATTAATAAATTATCATTATTACATTAATATTCATGAATTATCTAAATATTATTACATAATTAATTTCAAAACTCTTTTTAAAAAATTCGAGTGTAATATGGAAAAATAGGAATTTATTAAATCATTTATGAAATTCAAAGAAAATTGGAATAATTTCATTATTATGATTTTAAAATAAAGTTAAAAATTTGTATTTGAACAAACACAAGATTTTATTGCCTTACTAAACGGAGTCTCTTATTCTCAAACAAAGTTAAAAATTTGTATTTGAACAAACGCAAACAAACAAACAAACAAACAAACAAAAACACACGCGTACACACACACACATACACACGCATATATATATATATATATAAATTATTTATTATCACTCCAATAATTCGCATAAGTCCGTGTATATGAAACATTGAGGTAAATACTATTGATTTTTATTAATTAATTTATACTTTAAATTGAATATAAAAAATAAATAATTTTTCGGGTCTCTTCATTAACTTTATTTCTGTATCACATTTCATAACTAATATTTAATAATTTCATTTTATACATAGAATTTTTTACAAGTACTGAGTTAAACGTAGTTTTATATGATTGTGAATACACATATTGAATATAAGTGTTAAGTAAATTCTTTTATATGCTGATTTCTTTGATGAAATTTTAGTTCATTAAAATTAGTATTACAGTTTTTGAATAATTTGTAGTTTAAACTTGTTTAAAATTCGAAATTTACTTAGTGAGATATACATGAGTTGAGTCAAATCTTCATAAAAAATAAGTATATTAATGCTCGTTATATTTTTCCTATTTTTTAGTTGCATTTAGTTGCAAATATTTCCTTTTTAATTGCAATAGATTTTTACTATGTCTGTTAACATTATTTATTTATATATAATTTACATTATTATTGCACATTAGTTACTTTTTCTTGTGTATAATGACGAGTTTTACATATTCTTCTCTTTCATAATTACATTATAAAAATTATTCCAACAGAATTCTAAGCTAATTCTAAAAGTAGAAAAGCTACTTATTATAAATTAATTATTAACAAATATAGAATAATTTTATGCATTGATTACTCTTTTCTATTGTATAGAAAATGCAAATTCCTCAAATACATAAATATTCAGGAATAAAATATAATATACTTAGGTGCTTATATCTACTTTTAAAATATATATTCTCTCTTACTGATACATCACATTTAATGTAATTACTGTTTTTCAGCAAAGTAGCAGGAATTTTACTGAATATAAGTAATTTACTTTATTACATATGATTTACCTACAATATATATTATCTAAAATAATATAAAAAATCGTAACATTTTCACCAATAACTGATTAGGTTATTAATTTATTATAAAAAATAATGTTTTACACCAGGTTATTCCGATATTGAATCAGTTTACAATATCATATAATAATAATAATAATATTAATAATAGGAACAAGAAGAATAAGAAAAATACTATAAGTAAAAATAATAATATATTTTTGGTGTTTTTAACCGTGAATAAATATAGTGAATAATAATTTAAATTAAAGTTATTAAAATGATGCTGCTGCTAATTACTTATAACATAATGAATAAAATGCAAATGTTTGAAGACGTTGATGTGTATATCGGGTGTTTCAATGATCCAGGGTGTACCGTACCCTATAACACCAATTAATATCCCATCTTGGGACACTGGACCTCCACTATCACCCTGTAAGTATTTGATAAATTATTTTTATACATATTTTTTTATGAATCTATTAATAATTTAATTTTAATTTTTTCTTATTACTTAGTTATTACGAAATTACATTTAAATATATGTTTGCACTATTTCACGAACAAATATTTCTAGGTAAAATATTTTCTTTTGTTTTTTTACCGGTTTCATTGCATTGGTATTTACAATTTTCTTAATCTATCTTAGGTATTTCCAAATGGCTACTCATTATTAAATTACTTCTATTCAATTTTTTTAATCTAATAATGTACAGATGTACGCAATGTTTGAATTTAAATGCTAGTTGCATTGATTAGAACGCATTGATAATTTGAATGTGCTATTTATATTTTCATAAGGATAAATTTTTATAAAACATTATCATGTAATTCTAAAAATCTTCTTATTCGTAGGTATATTCAGCTTATGTATTTTAAGCATTTTCTTAAATACTTACAGATAATGCACGACTCGAAATATCTTTTGTACATATACAATCGTCGAGAACTTTATAGGGAAATGTGTCCTGACAGTAAGTTGCATTCAGGACTTGAACCCTTGCTGATAATAAGTGATTTGTAAATTCTCCATCAGGATAAATATTCCTTCCCCAGCCATACAAATAAACATAACTATCTTGGACAACATTTTCTATTGGTAGATTAATTTTATTCTGTTGCCGGTTAAATGAAATAGTTCCAATCACCTAAAAAGAGAATAAGTATTTAATTCATAATTTAGTGTATAAAAATAGAAATTGTTTAAATTTAAATGTTTTAAGCAGATGATAATCCATTTAGAAGGAAATTAAATAAAATTTAAGTAATTGAACCTCAACACTTGCTTTATATAAGAAATCATAATTCTTTAATATTAATAGGTATAAATCTTATTTCAATATTTATTTCTAATTATTTTGCAGTATA